CCCTGAAAAACTTCTTTTTGATTTCCTTCCCAGCTGTGTTAGCCTTACAATGTTCTGCCCAGTCTGTTCTGGTTGCCTCACTGTCCTGCTGACTGAGCAGTCCTTGGCGAAACGGTCTCAGATGTGACTTCTGCATGCCTTCATCTCAGAGCGGAAGGCCCCCGTGGCAGCTCACCTGGCTGGCCCTAGCCAGCAGCCACCTACTTTCCTTTCTGTCCCTCGGTCTGCCGGTTTTACCTGCATCTGGTGCAGGGCACCTGACTCCCTCTGGCCAGGAGGGATGAGGATCACTTCATAGGCAGCAGACAGCCTGGACTTCTCTAGTCTCTTTTGTCTCCCCAGGCCTGTATCCCTGTCAAGCCCGGCTGTGAGTTTTGGCTCTGGACGTGGAGATTGGAAGGCCTACCTAGGGAGGGAGTGCATTTCTCTGCTTCCTCATTGAGCAGCAGGTTTTGTTCTGCTTTTGGAAGAAAAGAGAAACTGGGGATTCTTAGGCTGGAGATGAGAAGACCAAAAATGACACAAATCAGGACCAATGACGAAAATGACAAAGAACAGGTCCCATTTTGTGATAAAGAACTGATCAGCAGTTGGTACTGCCCCTTGGGAAATGGGCTGCGTAGAGGAGCTAAGTTCTGTGCCATTGAAGACGTTCGTGCAGACAGGACAGCCTCTTGTTCAGACTCTTGTAGTGGGGACGCAGGCATTAGAAAGAAGTTCTCTTTGTTGCGGGGCGGGGGGGTCTTCACAGGCTTTTTTAAACCTGAGATTCGGAAATGCTCCACTGAGTCCTGGACCCTCCAAATAGGAAGAGGGGGCTGAGACTGAGGAAAGGGAGAGGTTTTATGGACTTGAGGAGCTTCTGGAATAAGCCCCAGGTTTGGTATGGTGGGCTGCTAGGAGTGTCCCATGCCCAGTGATCTGGGCTCAGCTGCTGAGCATTATGCATGTTCAAAGGTACTGCCAGACCAGTGAGGAAGAACTCAGGCGGAAGAAAGATCTGGGCTCTGGAAACAGGCAGATCTGGATTCAAACCTGAACCCTGACACCTCCCAGCTCTTCAACCTTCACCTGCACCTTTAACGTCTCAGAGTTTCAAAAAGTTGACATTGTTGTTATTGTTCAGTATTGTTTACCATTTGGGGCTTTGTGGGTATCAGCTCTACACACAGCCTCACAACACCCCTGAGAGACAGGAATAATATCATCCCCGTCTTCAGATGAGGAAACTAGAGTCCCTCCGGCTGACAAGTGATGATACTGGAATTCTGCCTCCCCTGCTCTTACCAGGTTACCTAGCGTTCTCTGGTGAGGTTAAATGGTGGGGAAGGCCTTGGGGGTAAAACCAGAGCTGTGCAGGGAGATCTCTTAGAAGTGGTTGAGGTGTTATTAGAAGGGGAGATGCCTGTTAAGGGAAGCAAGTTTGGACACAAAACCACTTTGATTCATTTTTTTTTTTTTTTATCTTAACGTGGACGCTTTGGAAGTAGGAAACCCTCCATGAGATAGCCCTAGGATGTAGCTGCCCAGGATTTGCTTGAACGCCGTCAGTATCAATGTCATCCTTGGCCTCTGGCTCTGTAAGAAGTAGGGAGAGTGGTCCCTGAGGTTCGTGCTCTTACCCCCTTGCTTTGCTGACTGGACACTCTGTTTACAGCTCTCAGCAGCCGGCAGCAAGCTCCTTAACCTCATCCTCCACCCTGACAGAGATCCTAGAAGCCATGAAACACCCCTCGTAAGTGGTTCGTCACATGTAGGAGTGTAAGGGCGGGAGGATCTCACAGCCCTGAGCCACAGTGACGCTCAGATGCTCAGACAGTGTGATTTGATGGATTCATAGCTGGCTGTATTGTTCACCAGCTGTGAGACCCAGCATAAGTTACTTGACCTCTCTGAGCCTTTATTACCTTGTTTGTAAAATGGGATACGTGTGGTTAAGTCACAGGTTTGGCCTAAGGATTAAATGAAATAATTACGTAAATTACCTAGTATAATGCTTGACAGCTATAGGTAATTCTCTTAAGTGTCAGATCCTTCTTCCTTCCTCTTCTCCTTTCCCCCCATAACACCCCCTTTTGTCCTGTCTTGCAGATTTCTGTGGGTTTAGGAATAGTGTAGAGAAATTGTACTGTGCGGAGCCTTCAGATATTAAATGCTCTAGTGGGAGTCCCTCCTTTTTCATGTTCTCTTTCTGCTTGTTGCCACCGTGCACACATAACCCTGCTCCGTGCCCGCCACGTTGCAATTCAGGACAGGAGTCCAGCTGCTCTCGGAACAGAAGGGCCTCTCGCCATGCTGCTTCATCAGTGCGGAGGTGGTGCACTGGCTGGTGAACAACGTGGAGGGCGTCCAGACGCAGGCGATGGCTATCGACATCATGCAGGTGAGACAGCGCGGGCAGGGCCCGTGGGACCGTCCGCTCAGAGCCCCCGTGAAACCAGAGCCCGTCTCTGAAGCAGCTGTCTTTCTAGTAATGAGACCTGCCGGTTTTGGTGAGGCTCTGCTTTTAGTAAGTGTGAGGCCTGTCTGCAGTCGATGAACACGCAGGTCTTGATTTGAAAGACACTATACCTTCCTTGACTTAAAAACCCGGCAGAATGTCGCATCAGAACTGAAGCGTTCTGGATGGAGTCCGCCCTCTTGAACCTTGGAGGAGTCTGTAAGATTTCCAGGGATTGCCTTCCCTCTGACCTCCAGCCCCCATCTCCCTCTGGTCAATTCCCAAGCTTCTGCCTCAGGGACTTTCTGGCATCCTGTCCTTGCTCTGTCAGAGCACTTAGCACAACAAAAGGAAGATTCTGCCTGTCTCATTCCACTGTCTCCCACCTTGACTGGGCTCCTTGAGGGCTGGGCTACCTTTTTTTTTTTTTTTAAGATTTTATTTATTTGTCAGAGAGAGAGAGCACAAGCGGGGGAACGGCAGGCAGAGGGAGAAGCAGGCTCCCTGCTGATCAGGGAGCCCGATTTGGGACTCAGTCCCAGGACCCTGGGATCATGACCTGAGCCGAAGGCAGACACTTAACTGCCTGAGCCACCCAGGCGTCCCTGGGCTACCTCTTATCATCCCATTTCCATATCACCATGCTGTTTGGCACATGGTAGGCACTTAGAAAACACTTGCTAAATTTAATGACACTATTCAGAACTGGAATTAAACTGGAGAGGAGAAGAATAGGAAAGGTCAAGTTGGCTGATGTGGTTCACACCATCCTGTCCACACAGAAATCAGTACCATTTGCTGACCAGCAGGCTTGTCATCCCTGAAACGTAAAATCAGTAACTGATTTGGATAAGCATGCAATCATCAGTTCTCTCTTTGAGGGTCTCTTAGGGAGTTTTGCATGCCTTTGCCCTATTACTTATACTCCCATCTCCCTGAGAATCAGATTTCCTTGTTCACACAATGCAATGCTTCTACAACCGTTAAAATGCATGAGCTGGAGGGACATGTATCAACATGGACAAATGTCCAAAGCAGGATGTTGAGTGAAAATCCAATATACAAAATGATAATTGTATTACGCCCTTTATTTAAAATTTAAAATCTCACAAAAATACCTCATTCTCTATCAATACATGTGTGTATAATAAAATTATTAAAAACATGCATGAGAATAATGTTACACTAACCATTTATTTCTGGTGAGAGAGGAAGAGGAATGGGACATGGGAGAGTCCACAGAACATTTTGTTTTGTCTTTTAATTAAAAGATCTGAAGTCAGTATAGCAAAATATTAAGTTTGTTGAAGTTGCGTGGTGGTATACATGGATTGTCTTTATAGTTCCCTGTATGTTTGAAATAATTGATGATACTATAATATGCATTTGCATTGTATAATATAATTTACTTCAGGAGCAGCATTTATCATAGAGCAATCATCATGGCTGATGGGGGGTGAAGAGTAGGGTCTCCTCAATGTTCCGGTCACTTCCTTGACTCCAGGGAACTGAGGGCTGCACTTCTAAGATGTTCCTCCACAGGAATTTCAAAGTTTCAATGTCTGTCCTTTTAGAAAATGCTGGAAGAACAGCTCATCACACATGCATCTGGTGAAGTCTGGCGGACCTTCATCTACGGCTTCTATTTCTACAAGATAGTCATGGACAAAGAACCTGACCGAGGTCAGAGATGAGGCGACTGCTGTTGCCCACAGGAGCAAGTGTTTTTCCTGGTGGCTTGCTTTTTCAAATGATGGTGCTTCTTGAGTTCCTTGTGTGACTTCGTATTCTAAGTAGACAGATCTGTCAACTTCCTGAGCATTTGTACTTAATTTAAGCAGAACCGGAGTGACGAGTATTTCTTAAAGCTATGGTATGTTCTTGGTCAGACCAGTGTGGATGGAAGCTAAACCTACAAGAGGCCAAGGAATCTGGTTCGAGGAAATTCCCATGGGCCATTTTTTGGCTACTAATTTTAATTATAGAGCCCCGTCCCCCGTCCCCATCCAGTGCAGGTGGTTCTGAGTATAGATAGGCTCTTACCTATAACTTACAGCACTTTTTACTTGCTAGACTCCCATTTCTTACCCTAGAAAGACTCAAGTCCTAGCAAGTTTTCTAAGATACATTTTAACTTTTTTTTTTTCCTTTCAATGAGAAAACATAATTCCCAAGAGGGGACCCATTCCAGCAAGGTCAGAGCTGGCTCACATGGTGCTGGAGACACCCAGGATTCAGAGCCACGGCTCCAGTCCACCCAGAGCCCACAGGGACCTTGGCTGGAAGTGACTCCATCCTGCAGACAAACGGCTTCTCAGCCTCTGGGTTTCGGGAATCATACATCAGATGAAGCAGCGAGTGCCCCCTTGCTATGCTCTTTTATCCAAGAATGTGTTGGAAGTGGAGCTGTGTGGGTTTTTTCCTGGTAGCGACTAGTGTGTCCGTTGCCGCCTCTCCCCTTGAATTCTCACTTGGACTAATAGTTATTTACCTTCAAGGAGAAAAAAAAACAAAAAACCTGGTTACTGTTACCTGCTCTGAAATTAGAGGTATGAAACTGAAAAAAAAGATAAAAAATCTTTCTTAATGGAAGAAAAGTTCATGCAACATAAAAATGAACCATTCTGACGTGAACACTTCACTGGCATTCCATACGTTCCCGGTATTGTGCAAACACCACCACCTCTGTCTAGGGTCCAGATCATTTTCATCACCCTGGAAGGAACCCTTGTGCCCATTAACAGTCACTGCCAAACTCCTTCTCCCTCCTGCCCCTGGCCACCCTGGTCTCTAAGGATTGGCCTATTCTGGATATTTCATTTAAGTGGCCTGTTGTGTTTGGCTTCTTTCACTTAGCATCGTGTTTTCAAGGTTCAGCCTTGCATCAGTAAGAAAATAAGCATTTGTGTTGAGGGCACTTTCTCTCCCCTTTGCTTTTCCCAGTGGCCATGCAGCAGCCCACCACCTGGCACACGACAGCCATGGAGGACTTCGCCAGCTTCCAGCGCAAGTGGTTTGAGGTGGCCTTTGTAGCTGAAGAGCTCTTGCACTCCGAGATTCCTGCTTTCCTCTTGCCCTGGCTGCCCAGCCGGCCAGCCTCCTATGCAAGCAGGCACAGCTCCTTCAGCCGCAGCTTTGGAGGCCGGAGCCAGGCAGCTGCGCTTCTAGGTAGATGCTCGGCCCAGATGGGGCCTGGGGATGCGCTGGTGGGTGGCTGAGGGAGAGGGTCAGTCAGCCAAGGGGACAACGTCACGTGGACCAGGATTAGAGTCACTGGGCCTTTTATACTGGTACTCTGTCCGCACAGTGGGCTTCTGTTATAGCTCCCACTGACCGAGTGGGTCAAGCTCATTATTGTCCCAACCAATGAACAAGTGTCCAAGAGCTCTCAAATCAGGGCACAGTGCTAAACCTGCACAAATAGGAGAGAATAGACAATGGGGCCACTTTTCCCAAGAAGCACCCAGACTACAGGGGATGTGAACTGGTGCTCACTGCTGGTTTAGTACCTGCCAGAAGCCTTCCCGGGACCTTAGTGACCTAGGATGTCAAAAGAGGAAGGAATCTTAGAGGTTGTCCATTCCAAACACTGAGGCTGAGCGTGAATCTTCTCTCCGCCTTTCCTCCCCAAATGTGCTCACCACATCAAGGGATATAAATTAAGAGTCTTCCCTCCTTTCCTCGGTTCCTGCAGCTCCAAGATAGGGGTACCCACCCACTATTGAATGGTGGTGACCTCTGGTAGGAGATTGGACCTCTGCTCTCAAGGACTGGACTGATGGGTTGGGCTGTAAATGTCTTTAGGCAATGCATGCTCTAGGTAAAGTGTCATGAGATTCACCTCAATGGCAGGTTGGAGAGATCCTAAAAACCCTCTAGAAGGAAGGAAGGAAATGTAACATAGACCAAAGTCCAGGGAAATTCCACCTTCTACTTAGTTTGCCTGGAAATGCCCAGCTCATTGGAAGTCTTACGTAGCTGGTAGAATGGAAATGTTAATAGTCATCATAGTTTCCAGATCCTCAGATTCACTTGGATCCAGATGTGGCTTTGAACCTCACCCCAGCATGCCCAGCACTGTGTGTGAGAGCTGAGGGGGGCATGGAGAAGACAAAACTGTGAAGAGAGTGGCTCCTCTTTCCCCCAGGTAGTCACGACTTACCCTCTTCCTTGTGTTGCATTTCTAACTCTGTCCCTCCTTGAAGTCTTTTGGAAACAAAGAGGCCACATACTCCCTACCTGCTAGTTACCAGTAGCACACACACCCCCCCACCACCATCACCCAGTGTGACAAAATATCTCCCGACGTTGCCCAATGTCCCCACTTACTCCTGGGTTAGAGTTACTGCTTCTGGAAAACGCCTAGGAACTGTCCCCTTTGCGTCATCATCCTGGTTTTGGAGGCTGTCTTGACAGTTTCTGCATGAACATCCTCATTTCCAAAGTCTCCTCCTTCAGCAGGCTGGCAGAACCCTCTCCTGTCCGCCACAGTCCTAAGCTCGAGGTGAGATTCAAATCATTTCAGTTTAGCTCTGGTTCTTAGGCACATCAGAAAAATTGCACTTAAAGAGGAGCAGCGTATGGAAAAATAAGTCATCTGTCCAAAACAGAGGGAGAGTAAGGGAGAAGAGAGGATTTATGTCTTTAGCAGGTAGTTTATTAAGCAGGCGTCTTTCCCCTGGGGTTTGCACATGGGTGTTAGGGGGTCGGCATTGATTCTGAACCAGACAGAATCTCACGTGTCTGCATATTTTCTTGAAGCTATCCTTTTATTAGCTTTCCAGGGGCTCCCATGATTGTAGTAGAATTTCACTCATCCGCTTCTTTTCCCATCACCCCTCGCACAGGAAGTGGGTTTCTTATCCTTTTAAACCCGGCACAGCATTATCACTGCTCATTCTGTCCAGCAACATCCCTCAGACCTCTGTGTTAGGGTATGAGCTACTTCTTCCCAGCTTTTTTTTTTTTTTCAGGTTAGAATGTAGACTTTCGCTGTGTCATTTACTGAAGTGAGAAAGAGGAATTGTCTTTGAATTGGACTGTCCCCAGTGTTGGGTTTTTTTTTTTGCCTCAGAAAAAAAAATTAACATGATTTATAGGGGAAAGAAGCCTGTATATCATTTATGACCTGCTCCCCTTTCTGTTTGTTTCGACGTGTTCCTTTTTAAACATTTCAGATTCTCAATTGGAAATCTGTTTTTCTCAGCAGAAAACTGTTTTAATATTCCTGACGGGTGCCACCCATCCTGTCTGCCCTGGCCCGTGGTGACTCCTCCTTCTCCACTCATGTCATCCTGTGTCGCTGAGCTGTGAAGCTGCAGGGACATCTGAGACCCAGGGAGAAGCAGCACCGCATCCCTTAAGCCCACTCACACACCTTTGATTTCTCAGCCTTTTTTTTTTTTATCTGATTTATTTTTATTTATTTATTTTTTTTTTAAAAAGATTTTATTTATTTGACAGAGAGAGACACAGTGAGAGAGGGAACACAAGCAGGGGGAATAGGAGAGGGAGAAGCAGGCTTCCCGCAGAGCAGGCAGCCCAATGCGGGGCTCGATCCCAGGACCCTGGGACCATGACCTGAGCCGAAGGCAGACGCTTAATGACTGAGCCACCCAGGCGCCCCTCAGCCGTTTTTTTTTTTTTAAAGATTTTATTTATTTATTTGACAGAAAGCATAAGCAGGGGGGAGTGGCAGGCAGAGGGAGAGGGAGAAGCAGGCTCATTTTTTTGATCACCCCACTGGATCTCAGGATCAGAAGAGGCTGCCAAGCCCCTCGGTCCAGACCCTGACGCGTGAGCAGTTTCCATCCCCACTCCTTGTAAGTGGGGAGCCAGCTGCTTCTTGAAAGCTCCCCCCAACAGGGCACTCACTCCTGTGACTTCTCTTCCTATTTCTCAGCAGCTCCGGTTGTGAGTGTTGATCCCTGGGGCCCTACCTGAGACTGCAGTCTCTTCTCCTCCAGTGGCACTGATCCCCTCCCCAGGTCATTGTTAGCCCCTTCACTGTGACCCGGGTGAAGGACCCTCAGCCGGCTCCTTCTCTGGGTTTGCCCCTATTTACTGGGACTCACTATATCTCACTGTCCCAACATGAGTAAGTCTGTTCTTATGCAGCTAAGGAGTGATTCAGAGAACTCGCTGCCGAAAGCTGCAGCTCAGCTGGGGCTTACACCTTTGTCAACATCAGTAGCCTGCTGGCTGTGTCCATACTGCTGAATCTCACCCCGAAAGTAGTGAAAGCCAGTGGACTCCTGAGCCTGTAAGCACTTGGCTGAACAGGACACTTCCTTGGGCTTCCTCAGACCGGCCTGTTCTGAACTGAATACACCAGATGGGAAAGGAGAGATGGCGAGGTCACTGCTGGTGTTTATCAAGTGCCCTTTGTTTTGTGACCCGGGCTTTCCCCCGCACCCTGGGGAGGAATACACCATCCAAGACCAGAGAGCAAAGCTTTCTTCCTTTGACTGGGGCTATTAAGTAAAAGGCTACTGTGTAGTGGTTGGGCCATGAATCAGGAACACAAGGCGGGGACAGAAACTAGTTGTCATGAGACTTTTAGCATTGGAGCCACCATGTTCTTTAGCCTGAAGTGTCCCAGGCAGCTGAGCCGTGTCCATGGGAGTCATGGACAGGCCTCAGATGGAGCATTGGTGAGCTTGTAGCTTAAATGGGGGAGGAAGGAATAACAGGAGAGTTGCAAGTGGGGTGGCTAAAGGAGAAGGCAAGAGGGGTGAGTCTGCGACCTCCTGGCAGCCATGTTTTCCTTGATCCTCACCCCTCCTCCTGGAAGCAGCTGGGTGGGCACCATCTCAGTTTGCAAATGAGGAACTAAACCAGGAGAGCTGAAGCAGTGCCCTCAGGGGCACCTGGCTAAATGGCAGAGCATAGATCTTCCAACTCCAGAGGAAGAACGTTTCCCATTTTGCATGCTCTGGTTTTGAGAGCATCAGCTGTATACCCAGCAGCTGAATATCAGTCCGCCCCGGGGGCCATCAGCATCTTAGCTGTAGCTCCACTACCTCTCCCAACAGAAGTTCATTAAGATCACTGACTCAAGAGCTGTTTTATCCTTGTCAGTGATAAAAGCCACTCAGGGCTTCTACCTGCAAAACCCAGAACTAAACTGATGGCTTCAGATAAAGAGATACCTTTGGATTCGTGGGGGCTGGGAGAATGAGGAGCTGATAATAGTCTGTAGAAACCCTACATCTGGCACTGCCCAGTCAGGCAGAGCAGAGCCCTGATCTTTCCGTTACTTCTGAGCCTCTTTCAGGCCTTTAGTCTGGTCAGGAACTGCCACTGACACTTGACCCATCCTTAAAACATCCCTATCTTGGGTTGAATAGGATTTCTGAGCAAGAGTTCCAGATAGGATGAACTAGTTTGATACCAACCTGGAATCTGAGCAACACACAGTTGATGGAACAGGGTGTTGAGCTTCATCGTGAGGTTTCATTTCTTGAGAAAAGATTCTAGAACTATTGTCTTCCTGGGTTGAAACCAGAAAAGCAAGACTTCCTCCTCACTGTGGTCTGGGCTGTCTGTCCAGTGGTGTCCCTTTGTGGGTCACTGGAGGGGGAAGATCTGGGGTTTAGCCTGGCTGAGGTTCCGACTCTGATCTTGGTCAAGGCATTTCTCCTCCATGGGCAGCTGTTACCTCATCTGTAAATGAAGGAGTTGGATCCAATTAGGGCGAGGCAAACTATGGCTTAACCAGCCAAATCTGGACTACCATCTGTTTGTTTCTTTTATAATAAACTTTATTTTTAGAGCACTTCTAGGTTCACAGCAAAATTGAGTGGAAGGTACACAGGGTTTTCATATACTCCCTGCCTGAGCACCTGCACAACCTCCCCCACTATGCACTTGGGTTCTGACACATGGGTAATGGCGTGTATCCGCCATGATAGTATCACACAGAATAGTTTTACTGCCCTAAAAATCCTTCTGGCTTTGTAGGTAAAGTTTTACTAGAACACCGCCCGGCCTATTCCATTTATAGACCTCTGGCTGCTAGTGAGCGCACTGTGATGGCAGGGTTGAGTGGCTGAAACAGAGACCACGTAGCCTGTAAAACCCAACATATTACTGGGCCCTTTCTAGGAAAAGTTGGCTGACCTCTGGACTAGGTGATTTGCAGGAAGTTTCTGTGATTTTCTAATAGGTGACTCTGCACTTTTATATCTGGATGCCTGGTTGGTTGTTCTTCCACCTCATCCCACTCCTTCTCCCTCTCTTTCCTGGGGACCCTCCAATGTGCTGATGCAGCGGCCACTGTCCCAGAGCAGAGGACCGTGACCCTGGATGTGGACGTGAACAACCGCACAGACCGGCTGGAGTGGTGCAGCTGTTACTATCATGGCAACTTCTCCCTGAATGCGGCCTTTGAGATCAAGCTCCACTGGATGGCCGTGACCGCCGCGGTCCTCTTCGAGATGGTGAGAGCCTCCTCCCTTGTGTCGTGGTCGGGGCCTTGGCTCTACTTGCCAAGGGGCACAGCGGGTGCTTGGTAGAGATTCATGTCCCTTTTTTTTCCCTTTAGTTCAGGCTCCCATTACCTTTCACCTAGACTCTTTGGAATAGCCTTGTAAAAAAATTTAAACACAGTAAAAAATTCAAACAGTCGACAAGGAGCTAGATTAGGGTTTCTCAGCCTTGGCACTCTTGACATCTAGGGACAGATAATTCTCCATTGTGGGGACTGCCTACAGTCCTGTGTTTTGTAGGATGTTGGGCAACATCTGTGACCTATACCCTAAATGCCAGGAGCACACCCGCCTTGTGACAACCAAAAATGTCCCCAGGGAGGAGGAGTATTGCCTCCAATTGAGAATCCCTGGTCTAGAGTGAAAGTAAGTCCCTCTCCCACCCTTACCCTGTTCCTGGGGACTTCCTTCTAAAAGCAGCCACCCGGATGTGGGTGGTGGTTGGGCTAAATGGGTGATGGGTATTAAGGAGGGCACTTGTGTTGAGCACTGGGTGTTATATGTAAGTGATGAATCACTAAATTCTCCTTCGGAAGCCAATATTACATTATATGTTAACTAACTAGAATTTAAATAAAAATTTGAAGAAAAAAATACAGGCAGCCCCCTGGGGCCCCTGGCTGGCTCAGTCAGTAGAGCACACGCAACTCTTGATCTCAGGGTTGTGGATTTGAGCCCCATTTTGGGTGTGGAGGTTACTTAAAAATAAAATCTTTAAAAACATTTTTTTAATCATTAAATAAAAGCAGCCACCCTACCACTTTGTTGAATGTACTTCTAGAGAGTATGTGCACATACAAAGCTTTGTTACCTTTTTTCTTTTTAACAGATACGGTAGCTTGGACTACTGACATTGACACTTGTACAGCAGGGGGGTTAGGGATGCCGACTCTCTGTGCAGTGAGAAATCCAAGTAAAGCTTCTGACTTCCCAAAAACTTAACTACGAAGCGAGTAGTAGCAATAGCCTATTGTTAACCTGAAGCATTAAAGATTACATAAACAGTCAATTAACACATATTTTGTATGCTCTATTTGTTATATACTGTATTCTCACAATAAAGTAAGCTAGAAAGAAGACAGTGTTACTAAGGAAATAATAAGGAAGAGACATTGCATTTACAGTACTCTGTTTATTAAAAAAAAAAACACCCACATGTAAGTGGACTCATGCATTTCAAACCTGTGTTGTTCAAGGGTCAACTATATTTGCAATGTGTTTTGTCCTATTACTTATATATCCTCAGTATTGGTATAAATAAATCTGCCTCATTGTCGTGTTTTTGTTTTTGTTTTGCTTCATTGTTTTTAAGGGCTACAGAATATTCTGTTTGTTTGTATCATTGTTTACTTAACCAATCCCCCATCCGTGAACATCACTGCCTTTAACTCTAGCTCTCAACAGGGGTGGGAGGAGTGTGTGATTTTGCCCCCGTAGGCAGAGGGGCATTTGATAATATCTGGAAACATTTTTACTTGGCACAAATGGTGGAAGAGTGCCACTGGCATCTAGCGGGGTGGATACCAGGGATGCTGTGCATCATCCTACAATGCATCGCATAGGACAGCCTCTAGACAAACAGTTAACCAGCCCAGATGTCACGAGTGCCAAAGCTGAGGAGCCGTCTTTTAATTGGTCTTCTACCTGTCTTTCGTCCTCCTAGTCCGCCTGGCCAGTCTGTCTAATCAGGTCACTCGGTGCTCGCACTGAGAAGCCAGCCCAGCCACCCCCATCCCTGGTCCAGTGTCTGTAGAACAAGCCCTCCTTCGCCAGGCTGTCAGGATCTTCCAGGTGCCTTCTTGAACCATCTTTGCAGTCTGCCACTCCTTTAATACACTCTCCCCTTCGCCTTAGAAGAATGTTTTTCTGTGGCTTTAACAGAGTCCTGCTCACCTCCCACACTGGCGCAAGCATCCCATCGCCTTGCTGAGAGCAGCCAGAAGGTTCAGAAAGACTTTACAGAAAGCTAGGAGATGACCAAAGAGAGTGAGCACAGCATCTGCTGGCAGCGTATCGTTTCTCTATCCAGGGCTCAGAGGCTTAGTTTTGTTCCACAAGGCATGATATCCTGGGGAAGGGATTTGTCTGCGTTTCTGTCTGCCCAGCCCCAGTCTGCCTCTGCATGGCATTAGCACCTCTGTGGACCCCTACCCTGGAACACTGGAATGTTTTCAAGGTCCAGATCAAAAAAGATGTCCAGCGGGACACCTGGGTGGCTCAGTGGGTTATGCATCTGACTCTTGATCTTGACTAAGATCTCGATCTCACAGTTGTGAGTTCAAGCCCTGTGTTGTGGTCCATGCTGGGGATGGAGCCTACTTAAAAAAAAAGAAAAGAAAAGACACCCAGCCACCTGTCCAGCTCAGCTTACAGAGGACACTGGCTCTGCTCCAGCCAGTCAACACTGGCATAACCACTCCCTCCAGCCAGAACTAACCCTCTGACCCAGTAGGCTAAGCCTTCTCCTTGGAAGCCCTACCTACCAGATAATCCTATCTCAAACAACACAACCATAACATTCATAGACACACACATATAGTCACAGTTTGGCAGGAAGAAGAGTATTTATCTCCCCAGGGGAATATAGCAACTGTCTTTTCAAAATACACTTTTCACACCAATTCATGTAAAACCCATGAAAGCTGCTAATCCCTTTATCATTACAGTTTTGACCCTTGAACAACACGGGTTTGAACTGCATGTATCCACTTATACATGGATTTTTAATATATATATAAATACAGTACTGTAAATGTATTTTTTCTTCCTTATGATTTTTTTTTTTTAATTTTATTTATTCATTTGAGACACAGAGATACAGAGAGAGAGAGCATGAGCAGGGAGAGAGGCAGAGGGAGAGGGAGAAGCAGGCTCCTCGCTGAGCCGGGAGCCTGATGTGGGGCTCGATCCCAGGACCCTGGGATTGTGACCTGAGCCAAAGGCAGACGCTTAACCATCTGAGCCACCCAGGCGCCCCTTCCTTATGATTTTCTTAGTAACGTTTTCTTTTCTCTAGCTTACTTTATTGTAAGCCTACAGTACATAATACTCATAACGTACAAATATATGTTAATCAGCTGTGTATCTTCTTGGTAAGGCTTCTGGTCAACAGTAAGCTATTAGTAGTTAAGTTTTGGGGGAGTCAAAAGTATACTCAGATTTTTGACTGCATAGGATGTTGGTGCCCCTAACTCCTGTGTTGTTCAAGGGTCAATGGTATTTTGTTAAGTTTTTAGAAATCTCTAGTGTAGATTAATTATTATTTTAAGGTAGTGTCCAAATTTGTTATAAATCACATTTTATTATGTAATTTTATAATATGTAATATTTATTATATTAAAATATGACATTTTAAAATTTACATAAAATAAAAAGAGCCTTAAAAATTATTTTGGGCAGGGCCACATGGCTGGCTCAGTCGGTAGAGCACACGACTCTAGATCTCAAGGTTGTGCGTTTGGGCCCTGCATTGGCTATAGAGATTACTTAAAAATAAAATCTTTAAGAAAAAAGAAAGAAAGAAGAAATTATTTTGGTCAAACAGAGATCTTGGTTTTTGTTGTTGATGTATTGTTGTTATGAGTGTTTTTGGGGAAAAAAAAGCTAAGAGTGGTTCCCCTCAATTTTTAATGTAGTCATATTGGTTTAAGTCATGTTGTGGCTCAAACTAATATATATATATAAATATATATATATATTTTAAGATTTTATTTATTTGAGAGAGAGAGAGAGGGAGCACGAGCAGGGGAGGGGCAGAGGGAGAATCATACTCTCCGCTGAGCAGGAAGCCCGACTCGGGACTTGATCCCCGGACCCTGGGACATGACCTGAGCCAAAGGCAGACGCTTAACCGACTGAGCCACCCAGGCGTCCCTTGAAATAACATTTGACACAAATCTCATCTGTATGCCAGAGCCACATGCATCAGTTTTGTTTTTTTCAATGTACGTAGTTTTCTGGTTCAAAAAGTATCTTAAGACGTAGAAAATCGCCACTGTTCCCTAAGGAAATGGTACTGCTGGGGAGGTTTGTCTTGCTGCCCCAGTTAACTTTCGTTTGGAGTCTTCGGACAGACAGCTTTTGGGAGTTTGCTGGAGAGAGACTCTCATTCTGCCAGGTCAGAGCTTATCGCTTTTGGCCAGAGGCCACCACTGTCATCTTGCGCCCTCATCGTGTCCCTTCCAGCCAGGCTGAGTGGATTGTTTTCCTATTTGATACTTTGGGCTTTGTAAATTTTTGATAAAGGACAAATTTAGAAGGACTTAACTTATATCCTGTGACCTTCCGCCAACATCCTATAGAATGAGAAGGCTGTTTAGGAGGCAAGAAATAGTTCTCTCCAATCGCTTCCTTCCAGAAGAAACTGGAGTTGCAGCAGCTCGGGCTGGGAGGAGGAGCTGTGTGCTTAACTCACAGTTCTTCAGGTATTTGTCAGAGGAGGTTAAGTTGTGCTCTTTCCTGCCCAGGACCCGTTTGGAGCCAGTGAACGTGAATAAATGAACATACCAATCAATATGTAAGCTGCCATGGTGGCGGCTTCACTCCTGGGGAAGTACTTTCTCTTGTCTGAGTTCACTTGGAGATGACACTGTTTCTGTGCTTCCCACCAGGTCCAAGGCTGGCATCGCAAAGCCACGTCCTGCGGCTTTTTGTTGGTCCCCGTTCTGGAGGGTCCCTTTGCACTGCCCAGTTACCTGTATGGCGATCCGCTCCGAGCCCAGCTCTTCATCCCACTCAACACCAGCTGCCTGCTCAAGGAGGGCAGTGAGCACCTGTTTGATAGTAAGAGACACTCCCCTCTGGACGTTCTGTCTCCACGAGTAAGACCTCTCCCCCAGGGCCACCTCTCTGGGCATCAAATCCAGGCAGGCTAGGGCACAGAGGGAGCCTTTGGACACGGGGGCCAAAAGGATCTGGGTTTCATGCTGGTTCTTCACTTAGTGGCCAGGTAACCCTGGACAAGTCACTTACTGTCTTAAATTCCTTATTCCTCAAATGAGAGCACATAAAGTTTAACGCTGCCTTGTCAACTTGGGAAGACCCTCAGGAGGCCTGGAGCAGAGGGTGGGTGGGAGAGGGTGTGATACACTGTAAATCACGAGTGGCACTGGTATTCTCCCCACACTCTCCTTTCCGTGCTCCAATCTAACTGGCTTTGGGGTTGGGAATTTGAACCTTATGGGAGGCTTGAATCTGCTGTTTCATGTAAACAGGCTAGAAAAAGGGAGGCACTGATACAAAACAGGTTACAGCGTCCTGTTGTGCAAAGCTGTAGCGTGTCAGCACCTGGAACACGCATGTGGCTCGAGTCCTGCATCTCAAGGAAGACAGAGCAGGAGGGGGCTCAGAGGAAGACAGCAGGACTCTGGTCACAGCCCTTTCCCTGGGACGGGGTTGTCTGTCCGTCGGTAGCAGACAGTGGGCGGGGCTGCCCTGCTGCTCCACCCTGGCCCAGCAGATCTCTGAGGGCAGGTGTAGGACAGATCGAAGGACAAGTCTTCACACAGCACAGAACTTTCTATCATTAATTAATTGCTTATTTCGATGAACATATAAATAGCCCCTACAGAGCTCTTGGTGAGCTCACAAATGACCTTTTTAAAAACAAAAAGTTAGAATTGCTGCTGATACGTCAGCAACCCTTTCGTTTCTCAGATATAGAAATTATAAATGTGAAAGGAAGAACTTTTGGTGTGAGGGAGATGGTTTCTTCCCGTGCCCGTGTAAGTCTGTGTCATGGTGGGTAGAAGAGAAGCAGCTGGGGGGGTGAGAGGTCTCGCTAGGTCAGGGAGGCCACACTAAACCTTCCTGCGCTTTTCCTGTGACAGGCTGCCCCAGTGGTACAAACAGCTTGTGTTCCAGAGGCCCATCTGTATATTCTTT